AATGAACCCAAAGGTTTTGAGGAAGACACCATTGAAGATTATCAATGAAATCAAATAATCCAGTATATTGATCACACTGAAAGGTTTGAAAATTTTGGGCACTGAACTTTTGAAAAAGATAAGATCCCATCAATCCAAGGGTTAAAAAAAATAATAGGTGATTGTTAGCATAAACCCTGAGCTCAATCATACTCCTAAAACTATAGACAATCTTGTGAAGTTGTTTAAAAAAAGAAGCATTTCTTGAGAGTTAGATCCATAAAGAGTCATAAACTTTGTAGCAAAAATCAATAAGAAGAGTATTAACATTAAAAATTATACTAATAAATTTAGGTTTGGTTTGGGATTTCTTTCTTGCTATTTATTAAAATAGCTTTTTAATAAAAAATTAAAATTTTTGTATAATCTGCTTCAATAAGGATTATTTTAGCATGGTCATTCTATCCACACAACATATCAAGTCTACTAATAATATGTGTCATGGCATTTCAAAGCCAATAAGTTCAATAATTGATTATTTTCTGGGCCTAAAAGGTGATATTGACATGGTGCCGAAATGAATAGATGAAGATTATAAATGTGGTAAGTCCGCATCAGTACCTGTAATCAAAAGCAGCCTAATATTAAAACAAGCTGCTCAATTTTATTTAAGAAAAAAATTATTTATTTTTTGAGGAAGCAGTTTTAAATGATGTGGGTGGAATGAGTATAGAGTATGTTTCAAGTGATTCTTCAACGTTTTTTATCAGGAGCACAGGGAATAAGGATAAGTCGGCCACTAGGGTTATTCATTTTGATGCAAAAGGGTAACATTCAATGCACCTATGGAAAGTTTAAGACAATGTGTTTACTATATTCTTATTGCATAAAAGTTTTGAAGTAGCTAGATATTGTGAATATCCCTAAAAAGTATCTTATAATGTGGTGGTCAGCAATAACAAGGAAAAATGTATATACTAGCCACATATTCATAGGTATAGGAAAGACATCTAAAGCTGGTAGTGGATTAATACGAACAAAATTTCATATCAAATTGTCGCACGAGCATAAGGGAATGAGGAGGAAGAATAGTACATAATAGCTATAATGAAGGGTATGACTAAAAATGTCAACTTGATTTTTGATGGTAAGATAAATAATGGCAAGTTTCTAGGCAATATAGATGGTGGCATTGAAAAATTAAAAGATCAACTAAAGTGTAGGCCTAAAAGAAAATCTAATGCAAGGCTGCAGGGCCATTAAGAAATGAAAAAGAAGCCTAAGAGTATTATTTAACCTACATTCTAATTACTTTTCATTATATATTATAAGACAATGTATGTTTTGCTGAGCTAAGTTTTTTTAACAGAGAAACCTGCCATGAAAGGAAATACAATATAAATGTCTTCACCTTCAAGGCAGATCAAGTTCTCAAACATACCCGAATACTTTAATGAGGAATTTATATACGGGGCATGAGTATTCCAAGATGATGATTAGGGGTGTCAAAATAGGTCTGCAGGTCGGGTTCAGTTCAAACCCAGATTGACCCGAATTTAAATGGGTTGACCTTAACCTAACCCATTTTTACAAACAGGTTCGAAAATCCAACCCAAACCAGACTCGACAGGTTACTAGGATGACCCGACCCTACTCGCAAACATGAAACAGCCGCACATGTGCATGTGCTAAACGCGGTGACGGGGCTAAAGGTAAGCAAATGAGTCGAACCGTTATCCTCTGGTGGGTGTCCTCCTGCAGGTGAGTGAGGTTGGCTGCTACTGGCATGGCCGGATCATTTGGACGCATTTTAAATTGGTTGCGGGAGGGAGAATCAACAAAGGCTGGATTGTTAAAGGCGGGATGTAGGGTCGACTGGCCCGATTAAGGTGCTACACATGCGTAGCCTGCACTAGTTCAAACTCAAAACCATAGAGGCTTAACCCAAGCTGACCAGGCATCTCTGTTAGTGGATGAGGTGTTCGGATTAGCGGCTCGATCACCGAGGTCGAAGTTGGGTTTTTAGGTCAACTCGTACCTGACTCGATTTTATATGGGTCAAAAATCTTAACCTAGACTCAACCCATTTAACAGATAAGTTGACCTGAACCTAAATTTTTTTGGGTCAGGTCCAAGTCAAGTTTTGGGTCATGTCAATTTTTGACACCCCTAATGATGACGAATATCATTACTTTAGAATATTAATTATTTTAAATTTAATTATAACATTCTAATTATTAAATTAAAATAATTTATTGTAATAATTGATGTTTCAGACATTCTTCTTTCATTATAATAATGTGTGTTGTTCATTGTAATAGGTAATGGTCCAGACATTCTTTATTCATTATAATAACTTGAGTTATTTATTTTAATAATTGATGGTTTAGTGATTTTTTATTCATTGTAATTACATGTGTTGTTTTATGTATTCTATCATGTTATTGAATGTTTATTCAATATGTATTAATTATATATTAACTGTATATTTACTGTATTGAGTGTATATCTATATTCTATTGATACACAGTTAATACATAAAAAAAATATATAGTTAATATACAATTAATACACAATCAATACTAAGTAAATACACAGTTAATATAAGTTTAAAAATGAATCACAAAATGAAAAAAAAAAAAATTCATGGACATTTGTAATATGTGCAACTTAATTTAGAAATGGAAGATAATGTCATACACAATCGATATATAGTAAATAAATAATTAATACATACATAGTAAATATATAATTAATACACAATTAATATCAAGAAAATACACAGTTAATACAAGTTTTAAAAAAATCACAAAATGAAAAAAAAAAAAAAAAACTCATGGACTTTTGAAATATGTGAAACCTAATTTAGAAATGGAAGATAATGTCATACACAGTCGATATATAGTTGAAACATAGTTGATACGTACTAAATATACAATACATACGTAGTTAATACATAATTAATACCAAGTATACACAATTAATATAAGTTAAAAATAGAACCACAAAATGAATAAAAATAACTCATAGACATTTATTGCACAATTAATACAAAGTCAATAAAAATTTTACATGAAGTTTTACACTCGCCACTTTACATTGCCACAACGTCCAATCGTATATACCAAACCGAATGACCTTTTCACTTTTTTTAATAGTGCCTTATGTTTTGTGTTCATCGGAGGTTCATGGACTAATTTAAAATAATGACGTATAAATACCCTAAACCCTAAAAACAAAAAAACGTAAACCCTAAAAACTATTTTGAGAGAAAAAAAAAACTCTCTTTGAAGATGAAATAAACCAGAATGAGGGGCTAACTTTGTTGGATGATGATAAACTCCATGAGTTTTCATAGGGCTTGAACGCCAATGAACAGTCTGCAATGCCGGAGATGAAAAGTTAGCCGACTCCAATGACGAAGATGAAAAGTGAATTCGAAGATGAAAAGTGAACTGGTTCCTCAACTTTAAATCTCATGCGAATTCAAATTAAATTTGCACCTCTGGACCAGGCTAGGTCGGTTAGGCTAGCAAGGGAAAAACAAAATACAACATCTATATTAGATGTTCACGTGTCCAATCCACATGTCACGATTTCATTGGAGTCCAACGCAAAGCTACGTCCGGCCTCAACACGTAATAATTTGTCACAAAGAAGAACAGGAGGAGAAGGAAGAAGATGATGCATGCATTAATGATTACAAGAAGCTAGACCTTAAAGATGATTCAAGCATTAATATTTATTCAATGCATTGTATAAATAATAAAATCTTATATGTATTTTTGTTTAATTGAAAACTTTTAAATTTACTTTCAAACATTTTTGCTATGTACAATGGGTGTATTAATGTAAATTTTATGATATTTAATATTATTTTAGCTCAATATTTAATATTCTTTGAGCTAAATTTATCAAATTGAATAGGTAGAAAAATATTCTTGATTTCAAAAAAATGTAATTGTATTTTCCTCGCACTGAAATTATAATGTAGAGATATAGAAATATATTTTTTTCATGATATCTACTTACATCCTTATTTTTTATAATTTACTCAAAAATATTTTATTATTCTTTAAAAAAATAAATTTTTTATGAAGGAATATCATATATTCTATTTTTTTCAGATTATTTTAAAATATAATAGTATATTATCAAAAAAATTTATAGTGCTCTGATATATAAAACTTATAAAATATTTGCTGAAATTGGATACAATTTTAATTTAAATTGCTAGTTTTTTTTTTCATATTCTTCTTAAAAATTTTTGACACTTAAATAATTTTCTTTCATCTCAATATATATAAGGATATCAAAGTAATTTATTATGATATAGATGCAATACAACAACTTGACAGTTATGTTTCCCAAATAAAATATATTAATTTTTGTACAATAACTTCAGAAAGCAGCTTTCTATACAATAATTTCACAATATACTTTACCGACAGCTGCACCTGTCTCCAATGAATCCAAAGGCTTTGAGGAAGACACCATTGAAGATTATCAATGAAATCAAATAATCCAGTATATTGATCACACTGAAAGGTTTGAAAATTTTGGGCACTGAACTTTTGAAAGAGATAGATCCCATCAATCCAAGGGTTAAAAAAAATAATAGGTGATTGTTAGCATAAACGCTGAGCTCAATCACACTCCTAAAACTATAGACAATCTTGTGAAATTGTTTAAAAAAAGAGACATTTCTTAAGAGTTAGATCTATAAAGAGTCATAAACTTTGTAGCAAAAATCAACAAGAGGAGTATTAACATTAAAAATTATACTAATAAATTTAGGTTTGGTTTGGGATTTCCTTCTTGCTATTTATTAAAATAGCTTTTTAATAAAAAATTAAAATTTTTTATAATCTGCTTTGAAAAATAATAAAAAGTCATCACAAATAATATCTCAATTTTAGATAAGTTAAAAATATCAATGAAGATGAGATTAAAAATACCTTTATTTCTAATTAATAAAGTAAAAATTATATCATATCGTAGAGAAAATTATTAATCAAACTTAGTAATTTGCTTTTAAGAATTCTGGGCTGTTACTTGCCTGAGCCTGGAATCTCGCACAAAATGAAGGAGAGTGATGGGATTTCGGAGTTCCTGAAAGTGACTGCTACAGTTTGAACTATTCAGGCCAAGAAAAACCCTAGAGAAAAGCCTGCCAATCCATTTTCCTGGGCCATGAGCGAAGGTTTCGTCGTTGCTCCCTTGCCGGAACACAGACCCCTCTCTCTCCACTGCCCAAGTGGCGGCCAGCATTGTCGCTTTAAGCTATTCCTCCCGTTTTACGTCCTATACGGTTAGTTCCTTTTCTTGCCTCTCAATCCCATGACTATTTTAAGGTTGCCGCTTGGATTTCTCATGGGAGAGTGAATCTCTCCATTCTCGAATAGTAATGTTTCAAGTGGACACTCTGCCAAAGTACAAGCGGCCGAAGGCCTTCGCCATCCGCAATTTCCCCCAGGGATGTAGCCCTCATGAAGTCAAATTGTATACTAAACCTGTAGAACAAGCGTCTTCTGTGGTGGGGTTGGAGAATGTTAAGCTCACTGGATCAGAAAACTATTTAGAAGCCAGTCCTGAGCATGAGAAACTTGAAGTGCGGGAATTAGTGAGGGAGAGTTCAGAGTTATCCAAGTTTCAGAATGGGCATTGTTCTTCAAAGATGTATGGACCTCCAAAGAGGAGGAAAGTTTTTTCTATCCGACAATTTCCTCCTGGATGTGGACCAAGTTCTGACGGTATCAACAAAGATTCGCTAAAGGCTAAGAATTTGGTGGGGAAGAAAATTGATGAAGCAAGCAAACATTTAGTGGGTTATACTCTTAGTGTTGCGGCTACTGAAATTGTTGGGGAACAAATGAGAATGAATGATGATATTGAGGCGGTTACTGAAACTATTCACGGAATTTGTCGTGAGACAGGAATCAGGCCTCAGATTTCTTCTATGAAATATAAATTTTTTGATGGGGAGAAAAAGAAACCGGATTCAAAACAGAAAGAAATGGTAGGGTGTTCTGCTTTGATTAAATATTCTGGAAATAATTTGCATCCCATGAAGAATATGACTTTGGTGAAGCAGCCATTAGTGATGCATAAACCCGCACGAGCTGCAGATGCTGAAAAACACTTGAATCATGAGAAGTCTATGGTGAAGCAGGCAAAAATAGCAGATAGCTCTGTGAAGGTTGCATTTTCTGAAATGGCTTGTGTTGAGGATAGAAATGATTCTGATATAACAAAAGGGAAAGCGAAAAACTTTGGTGAATGTACTTTGGTCAGATCAAATACTGACAAGAATTTCTATGGTAGTGGAACTCAAGGCAATATTAGTCACGTTCAGATAAAATCCTCATTGAAACGTGGTTCAAAGAAGATCTTTGGTCGCTCTATTTCTGATAAGACATTAGGTGGTTGCAAAGGCTATCAAACCAACAAGAACCTTCAAATCAAAGAAAATGCTGGCAGTTCATCTCATGTAGTTGTGAAATCTACATTTGCAAGTAAGTTATTGGATAATGATGGTAATCCATTGGTAGGAAAACATTCTGTAAATGAATGTGAAATTACCCAAATAGTTAGTGATAGTTTAAAGAGAAAGTTGTCAGCTGAGGTTCTTTTTAAAGACTACATTCCAGATGAAGGTGAAGATTTTCTTGAAGCTTATGGGGAGAGGATGATTAATCAGGCTCTGTTGGCTGCTGAAAATTGCACCTTGAGGAATTCCAAGAGATTCAGTGCAGTTGGTTCTGGTTCTGGCTTTGTACAAAGCAAAATAAAGAAGGAGAAGAGTTTGGTAGACAGGAACTATGCTTCAAAGGTTTTTTCTTCTTCCCAACAAAAGAACAAAGGCTTAATTAAGGATATTGATCATTTGGTAGGAGCAGATACAAGCCGGAAAGAAATTACTGCATTTAAAAAACATAATGAATTTAGTGTTACCATGACCCCATTTAAATTGAGTCAGAAAGGTAGTGATAATGAAGAAGTTTTGGCTCGGCACCGAGTTAAGAGGGCTTTGCGAATTTTTCAGCTTATATGCAGGAAACTTTTGCGAGCAGAAGAGTCTAGCTCAAAAAAGTTGGGTAAAATAAACAGGATTGATCTGCAGGCTTCTAAAGTGCTCAAAGATAATGGTGAATGGGTGAGCAATGGTGAACCGATATTGGGGCATGTTCATGGAGTTGAAGTTGGTGATGAATTCCATTACAGGGTGGAGCTCTCATTAATTGGCCTTCACCGTCTATTTCAGGGCGGTATAGATAGTATGAAGCAAAATAGGATGCTAGTGGCGGTTAGCATTGTGGCTTCTGGTGGATATGAGGATGATGTGGATGGTTCAGATGTTTTGATATATTCTGGTTCAGGTGGAATATCTGCTGGCGGAGATAAGCAACCAGGAGATCAAAAACTTGAGCGTGGTAACTTGGCATTAAAGAACAGTATAGAAGCTCAAACACCTGTGAGGGTTATTCTTGGTTTTAAAGAGAAAAGTGATCCTCATGATGCAAGGGGCAAGCTAGTCTCAACATTCACCTATGCTGGATTGTATCATGTGGAGTCATACTGGCAGGAGAGAGGTTCTCATGGGTTTAATGTGTTCAAGTTCCAGTTGAAAAGGAAGCCTGGGCAACCGGAGCTTGCTTTTAAAGAACTGAAAAGGTCAACGATGTTAAGAATCCGTGAAGGTCTCTGTGTTGAGGATATAACTCGGGGAAAGGAGAAAATTCCTATCTCTGTAGTTAATACAATTGACACTGACCGTCCAACACCTTTTAAGTATATAACCAAGAACATTTACCCTTCATGCTATGTCAAGATACCTCCAAGGGGTTGTGATTGCATCGGTGGTTGCTCTGATTCCGATAAATGTGCTTGTGCCATTAAGAATGGTGGGGAAAATCCTTATAACTGCAGCGGTGCTATTGTACAAGCGAAGTCACTTATTTATGAATGCGGACCTTCCTGTAAATGTCCTCTTTCATGCTACAACAGGGTCGGCCAACATGGTATCAGAATGCCATTGGAGGTCTTCAAGACTGGAGGTAGAGGTTGGGGTGTTAGATCCTTGAAATCTATTTCATCTGGCAGTTTTATATGTGAGTATATAGGAGAGTTGCTTCAAGATGGTGAGGCTGACCAGAGGACTTATGATGAATATCTTTTTGACATTGGCCATAATTATGATGACCGCTCTTTATGGGAGGACCTTCCAAATCTTATACCAGAACTGCAATCTAACTCTGTTTGTGATACTGTAGAAAATGTTGGTTTTACAATTGATGCAGCAGAATATGGAAACATTGGGCGATTTATTAATCATAGTTGCTCGCCTAATCTGTATGCACAGAATGTTCTATATGACCATGATGACAAGAGGATTCCTCACATAATGTTCTTTGCTGTTGATAATATTCCACCATTACAAGAGTTAACATATCACTACAACTACACAATAGATCAAGTCCGTGATTCTGAGGGAAACATAAAGCAGAAGGCTTGCTATTGTGGTTCTCATGAGTGTCGTGGCAGGCTTTACTGAGCTTATCAGTGCTTTCCTATACTGGTATGAAGATTAACTAAAACATACCCATCAGCCTTCTCAGAGTATGCACTTAGGGTTACAGTTGAAATTTTATATGTCCAAAGATCTTCATGATGAAACTAAAGAGGTAAGTTCTTAATTTCGTACAAATCATTGGCTGCATAATGCTTTTTGTCGTATAAATGGAGAATTCAATGTCATCATTGTAAGTGTGAAATTCATTTTAAATTGTTTTTAGTTTAAAGTTTGTTGTCTCACCTGGATTTTTGTCACTTTGAAGAGGAATTATGAGATTTTTACTGTTGTACTTTACAATAGACCTATCAGATTGTATGTTTGGTTTATCATACATTACAAGTTTAGGACTCAGACTCAGGTTCTGTTTAGGCAGTTGCTTGTCTTTAAAAGTTGTTGTAGAACCATTATTGATAAAATAAACTTTTTAAAGACTGTTATTGGTACTATAAATTTTTTCCTGTCAAAAAATAATTTTCTTACATCTATGACACTTCAATAATTTTATTTATAATTTTTTTGTCATTAAAAATATCTAAAAATAGATACAAAAGCTCTAGTCAAATATGATTGTTTTGTTGTCTGCTAGAAACAACAATCACATAATTCAGCAAATACTCTAATAGAATTTATAGTAGAGAAATGGAAAAACGCTGCATTGCATCCAGCGAGAGTTCTATAGTTAATATATTTTATAACCAATATAGAGAGAGCATCTAAGTATATTAAAGGAAGAAGAAAGCAAATGAACTGTTAGATTGAAATCGTTGCACAGTAAAGCTGCAGCTTTAACTATGCAAAAGGTTCTCTGAGGTAATCAAAGAAAGTGCTTGTAAAGTTGAGAGAAGGGCTGCTGTATATCATAAGTTATACCACATAAATTCTGCTTATCATCTATTGAAATCCAGCCGTTCCTAGTTCAAAGGATCCAACAGACACAAAGATCAATCCGTGGGATACTCTCATGGATCACGCCATAATGAGGGAACAAATTTAGGAAAGATTTCTATTTTCTTATTTATGTATTAAATCTGCAATTTATTATTTCCTCATTAGGATATCTTTTATAGATCTATAAATAGGGAAGATTGTAATGAAAAAAAAAAGCTTTTCGCTCTCAAATTCTTGTTTTAACATGGTATCAGAGCCACTGGCCTTAATTGCCGTTGAAGAACGATCCTAGATCGTCGGAGAAAAAGAAGAAGAAGCTCGGAGCATCCGACATCAGATCATTGCCGACTCCGTGTGCGCCGAAGCCGGACGGGACGAACAGTGATGGAAGTCGCTGCAGCAGGCAAAACTTCCGATTCCGCCAACGTCGACAGCAGGATAGTCGAACATCCACGTAGGAGACGGAGTCGAAGAAGCATCGTACTTACCCGATCCGACGGGAAGAGAAGATCGGCGAAGGTGTTCCGACCTGACCGGAAGAAAAGACTCCTGCCGAGCGGCTCCCCGTGTGCGTGTGTGCCCTAACCGAGCGGCTCCTTGCGGTAGCTAATCCTGCGTGCAAGCAGGTGTCGTCCGATCAAGTGATAGAGGAAGATATCGCACGAAATCTCGCTTGCTTCCAGGATCGCACGAGTGAATCCCTTCTCCGTCTCTGGCTCCCGCTCGGTGAAAAAGACCGACCTGTGCCAGTCCCGATCCGAGCCCTTTAAGTTCGGCTAGTGTGGTTAAAAAAAAAAAAACTCAATTATTGGTCTTTATTGCTGACAACTAAAATCGGAGGGATTTTTTGGAAGCCTTCATTGCTATCCAGGAGTGTATAGATAGTCTATACTACTATCATCATGTCAGAAATCAATTCCTCCCAGAGCATTGACCAAACCGAGGAGTCGATGGTGCACCAAGGATGAGGTGATCTCCAAAGCATGCAACCTTCCTATCGTCTAAATGGGAAGAACTACCTGAAGTGGTCTCAATTTGTGAAGACCTACTTGAAGGGAAAAGGTAAAATACATCATCTCCTTGGAGGAGGACCAAAAGAAGGATATCCCAAATTTGGGGCATGAGATGAAGCAGACTCCATGATTATGTCATGGATGTGGAATTATATGACTCCAGAAATTAGTGACACATTTATGTTCCTTTTAACGGCAAAGGACATATGGGATGCTGTCAGACAAACCTACTCCAAAGCTCGTGACGCGGCCCAAATCTTTGAAGTTAAAGTCAAAGTTGGAAGCACGAAACAGGGGAGTAAGACCGTGACGGAATATGCCACCATTCTACAAAATCTGTGGCAAGAACTTGATCACTATAGGTGCATAGAAACCAGATGTCCGTCTAGTGCAGAAGCAGAATATCGAGCTATGGCCTTGGGAATATATGAGCTACTGTGGATCAAAATAATCCTAGAAGATCTGAAGGTTAAGTGGGATGAGCCCATGAAGCTACATTGTGACAACAAATCAGCAATCAGCATAGCCCACAATCCAGTCCAGCATGATAGGACCAAGCACATAGAAGTGGACCGACATTTCATTAAAGAAAAACTAGACAGTGGTCTAGTAAGTGTTGACCATGTATCATCAAAGGATCAACTTGCAGATTTCCTTACTAAAGGATTGGACAGTTCTGTCTTTCTCCGTATGATTGACAAGCTGGGAATGACGGATCCATATTTCCCAGCTTGAGGGAGAGTGTTGAAATCCAGCCGTTCCTAGTGCAAAGGATCCGACGGACACAAAGATCAATCCATGGGATACTCTCATGGATCACGCTATAATGAGGGAACGAATTTAGGAAAGATTTCTATTTTCTTATTTATGTATTAAATCTGCAATTTATTATTTCCTCATTAGGATATCTTGTATAGATTTATAAATAGGGAAGATTGTAATGAAAAAAAAAGCCTTTCCCTCTCAAATTCTCGTTTTAACATCATCCCCCCTCAAGTTAACAATCCTCTTAGTGATTGTTAACTTGGGACGAAGCTCATGAAATCATTTGATGGGTAGTGGTTTGGTGATGATATCAGCTGTTTAATCCATAATATTGACATATTTAATGGAGAGTCTTTTGTTTTTAACACAATTCCAAATAAAATGAAAGTCAATCTCAATATGCTTGGTTTAATGATGAAAAAAATGATTGTTAGCAAGTGCTAGTGCACAAATATTATGACAAAATAGTTCGTTGGAATTGTGATAGGAATGCAAAATTCTTGCAGAAGGCGTCTCAATCATATCAGATTGGAGGCAGCTGTAGCTAAATCATGATATTCATCTTCAGTTAATGACCAAGCAACAATCTTTTGTTTTTTAACTTGCCAAGATATATAATTATTTCCAAGATACGCATAATATCTTGTTGTTTATTTCCGATCCACAGGATCTTCAGCCCAATCAGAATATGAAAAGAGATGAAGTGTAGGGGTGCTAGGTTGAATAGAAAGACCAAATGCGAGTGTGCCTTTAATATAATGTAGAAGACATTTTAGTAAGTAATAGTGCGAATTCAGGGGTTGCTGCATATATTAATAGAGTTTATTGATAGTGCACGAAATATCAGGTATACTTTTGATTAACTAGTGTAAAGAACCAAATAGATGTTCAAAGATCAGGGTTAGTGACACCGGACAACCCTGACTGGGTTTCGTCGATCGGCCTAGTGCAATGGCAAGACAGAGTGGACCTTGAACGGGGACGCCGAGACCTCGCCGATCACCACTGTTTCTACAAGGACTATAAACACCACCACCTGACAGTGCGCCAGGATACAAAATACAAACGAAAGAATTAATTCTCAGCTCAAAATCATCTATCTCTTATTAATGTTCCTTCAGCTATTTATAGTCACTTTTAGAAACAGTGACGGCTACACAAGAAACAAGAATGAAATAAAAGAAAAGCAATACAAATATCTGAAGTTCTTATAGCACATGGTTGCTGTGGCCACACGATTCAGATACATCCTTAGCTCCGGCGTCAGTTCACCGGGGTAGGTGGAACTTCAGGTTCAAAGTAAGGCGATAAGTCGGCGACGTTGAATGTGGCTGAAACATTATATTCGCCAGGTAGATCAATCTGGTAAGCGTTGTCGCCGATCTTTTTGATAATGCAGAAGGGACCGTCCGCTTTTGGTTTGAGTTTGCCAAATGCTCCTGGAGGAAACCGATCCCGCCGTAGACGTATCCATACTCGATCTCGTTGAATGTAGCATATCGTCGCGTCTTGTTGGCAGTGTTTTGGCATTTCTGATTATGCTTGCTAATAAGATCTTGTACCTCTCGATGTAGCTGTTGAATCTCTTTACTTCGTTGTTCTCCTTCGTTGCTGTAATGTTTGTTTTTAATCTGTGGAATCAATTCAAATGGAGAAGAAGGATTCATACCGTAAACCACATGGAAGGGGCTGTGTCTTGTAGCCTGATTAACAGATCTGTTAAATGCAAACTCGATCTGAGGCAAAATAAGATCCCATTGTTTCAAAATTTTCCCCACAAAACACCTGAGGAGATTACCGAGACTTCTATTAACGGTCTCTGTTTGACCGTCAGTTTGAGGATGAGCTGTTCAGCTGAACTGAAGCTTAGTACCGAGCTTGCCCCATAAAATTTTCCAAAAATGGCTTAAGAATTTGACATCTCTATCAGATGTTATAGTTTTGGGAATACCGTGTAAACGCACGATCTCTTTGAAATATAAGTCAGCTATGTGAGTTGCATCCAAGGTTTTATTACATGGCACAAAATGCGCCATCTTGGAAAATCGATCAACCACTGTCATAATGGAATCCTTGTTCCGTTGAGTTCGGGGAAGACCCAGCACAAAATCAAGGCTGACATCAATCCAAGGACCTTCAGGAACGGGAATAGGAGTATACAGTCCCAATTTTTGGCCGTGTGTTTTTGCTAATACACAAATTCTTCATCATTTTATAAAACGATCAACATCTCTAGCTAACAGTGGCCAAAAGAAATGTTCTTTAATTAAGAACAAAGTCTTATCTCGCCCAAAATGTCTGGCAATTCCGGCTTCATGGCATTCGCTAATGATGGCTAACCTCATAGAGCCATGAGGAATACAGATTCGATTCCCCAAGAAGAGGAGGTCTTGTTGAATGTGATATAACTGGTGTGGTCCCTGTTGGCATTTTATCCAAATGG